AGCTTTAATACATGCACTATATTTTCTTGCAGATGTGTCAAGATTTCCCCTGGACCCAACGTTCTCTGCCCTAAAAATTAGGGTGCTAAAAGTATTCAGTGAAGGCAAGCGGAGGGAGACAAGCACAAGGAAGGCATTTAGATACTAGAATTTGGCGATCTCTGCGAAGCAAAGGCGACACACTGATAACATAATTGAACTATTTCACACAGTCTGAAACTCTAACTACTTTTCTATCCAAAGACATCGTCTTCCTCACTTTTCTTTGATGAAAAAAAAAGCAAAATTTTGCCAAGAGATTTCAAGCATATAATTTCACATGCAGTTTCTTCGTAACTTATTGTTAGTTCCTCAAATTGGCTCAATCCGTCACGCTCCTCAAATTTGGCGTATATATGATTCGCTAGTGATTGCGTGGTTGTTTGTGCTTGTTACACCCAAACAGTCTAAGCTGACAAAATGAGAGAAATTTTCGCTGGTCCCTTGACTGGATGAAATGCTTGTAATTCGTAATTCACGTTTAGAGTTTTAGTTTTGAAAAGTCATTAACTGGAGTTCGAGCACAAAAATAGGTTTAAAGTTGGAAGAGCATTCAGACATAAAATTGGTGTAATCAATTTCCTTATTATATTGTTAAGAGCACAAAGGCACAAATGGTTGAATACCGGATTCTTCTGTGTGCTATTGCATCATCCTCCCTATTTTGTTTTGAAATGATTCGCTCTCTGCTTGTGCTGCTCTCAAAATCAAAAAATGGTCTGTTCCTGTGGGCGACATAAATGTGGTTCGTCTTATTTGGGTGCACTTTTATCATCTAATAAAAAATTGAACTTTTCCGTTTCAGGTTTTTTGATATAGAAGTTCTAGCTACTGCACCTGTCTGGTTGCAGCTTATGATCAACAGGAGTATGCAGCAACATATGTTTAGAACGAAGCACAAAAAGCATGATCCTACGGCGATCAAAACAATCTGGGTTTCTCTGAAATCCAGCCCACATAGTATCATACGACTGTTTTCCTGTTTTGATGACCGCACCTTTGATCATGAATTATATTTCCTGTTTTCAAAGAAAAATCACATGCTTTACTTTTTCTACCAATAACCATCATCCCGGAATATTTTCAGGAGAATAATAACTTTCCGCGGCAATACACTACAGCCAGTATAGATTATTCAAAGATGGTTTTGCACAGTGTGCACATAAATCGTATGTTATTGTAAACATGGCGCTTTGCTTTCAGCCCCAACATAGTCGCTTCAGTTAACATTGTTTTTTTACATCGGGGACAAAGCGTCTTTTCGCGTTGTCATAAATCAAATGCTTTTTGTTTTTCGTGCCCAGGTAGGTCGGAAAACCCGCGGCTGAGATAGCCTTAGCGGTCATTTCTGTGTTTCGCCAATAATTAAGGCGCTAGATTGCATCTGCGCGCTTCGGGACCATACCGCGGTTTCCCGCTATGGGAAGATTTTTGATTGAGCTAACGATTTTTTATATATCAGATGTTAAAAAAATTGTCCTTTAAATTACCATTGACAATGATTATGTTGTTATGTTTTGGGTAAATTCAGTGGTGACTAATTCAGGATTTCTAGGTGTCAGAGATTGAGGAAATTAGCAGTCGTGTGTAGGGAGATAACGATGGTCAAAATCAACAGTTCTGTATAAATGAGGTCTCATCTTCACTCCATGAGAATAGTGACCTTTGTTTTGATCTTTGAATAATAGGAGAGTGTCTATTCAATGACTCACAACAGCTTTGGAAAATTAGAATTTTATATTGAGTATTAGCAATCAAGACGACCTTATTATTTTACAAGTTTATATTTTAGCGAGGAGCGATTGGTATTGCATTTGGATAAACTCATCCAACTAATTTAGCATTCTACACTGGCAAGCTCAGCGCGAAGATCGACAATCTATAAGTTGATTAAGCGCAAACAGATCATATATACGTTGCATAGGCAATTACGAGATGATTGTGATAATTGTGTAAATTGAATTGCTAATTATTCGATACAAAGAAAATCGGCTCTTCATGTGTTAAGAACAATTGTTTGCAAGCCTATTGAATAGGTTAGGTTCATCACCTTCGTTTCTAGGCCAAAAAATGGGCTAATGATTCACTCTGACAAGTCAAATCTTTGGGAATATCCAACGTTGTATGGTATTGATCATAATCAAATGTTGGAAGACCTGTTCCATATATTTTTAAAACTTACTCTTGAATGATAGAATAATATCACGCGTGCGTCTTGAGTGTGTATACTGTAATGTTGTGGAATCAATGTTGAGTGTACAACGAGGTCGAGCGTAGCATTCGCTACTTATGGTACTAATGGGTTGTGAAATCGGCCGGCTAATATCTTACAGTTCAAGCGAGAGGGATTATTCAAGTTGTTTTTTCAAGTTGACATGACTGTGTATTTCATTATAAAGTGATTGCTGCGATCGGACAGATTGTTAGTAAGAAGATCCCTTATACGGATTTATGCAGAACAGGGGGGGATGGGGGAGCTAGCAGAAAATGCATGTTGCTCCCTCTTTGCACGCGAAGGTCTAGAAAACCCTTCATAATTTTTCTACCTTTATTGACCTTTATTTCGCTTTGTTTTTTTGCGGTTAGATATCTGTGTTTTTTTTTTGTCGACCAACAAGCGGCTTCGTAATCATTTTTTTTTCAAACCAAAGTGGGGAGCGAGATTTTAGCATCTGTCTTTTTGCTTGATCCCCAGATGTATGCGTTCTTTGCCCCTTTTGGGCATGGCATTCAACTGATATGGAAATTTCAAAATTTTACACAAGATGAGATAAAAACCCTATACTCCCTCAAAAAATATTCAAAGTCAATTAGATACAAGTTGAATGAGATAGATTTATGATAATCTAACAATAAAGGATTATGTACTGGGCATTTATAATCTTTGGCGTTACCATGCGGGAACGTGAACAATGGTGCACCAAGACTCTAAATATGAATTGAGGAGTTATGTAATGAATGTTCAAAAGCAAGAGATTCTACACAAGTTAGGGATGGTCTCAAAGTGTCCGTTTCTCAACCTGTAAGCAGTTTTGCATATCATGCGGAGGACATCTTATCATGAAAGCGCATACGATAATTTTTAAACCGCTGAATACTTTCTCCTTCCCCTCCTCTTCTCCCCTCAGCCTGTGTTGTCGCCTCCCTTTTGCAATTTTCGATACCTTCAAATCAACAGTGTCTTTGCCAAAAATGCGGATTTCAAAGAGTACCGTAGTCAAATTAGTCTGATAATCCATCGTCGCTGTTTTTAAACTTCTTCAGTTAGTAAAACTTCTTCAGTTAGTAAGTTAGTTTCGCAAAACTTTATGCACGCAAGGTCAAAATATCAGAATATGCTTAGTTACGTAAGGATCTTAAATGTTTTTCAAATGCTTTCTTACCGTTTGTAAGCTTAGGTATTAGGTCGTTCTAAAAGTAATGTCGCTTTTTTCAAATGAACGCCACATTTCATAGAACCAAGATTTTGAGATATCTTAGGGAAATTCGATTCAGCATATCGTCCTCTTTTTTATGGTTCTAATTTCATTCCATAATATTCAATGAGCTTTCGAAAAATAACCAAAATCTGCGACTCATGCCTTCTGCCATGGTCAAGTTCGGCTATTTTTCTAAATTTTTGTACTTACTTCCCGAAGAAGTACAAGTAATCAGATAGAGCAAACCCTATGGGACACAGAGTTATTTTTTTTCTTTTCCTTAGCTTGCATCTTAGAATATCTGGAATCAGTTTTTCAATGCCATCAAATTCCATGTTTGGTCAAATTAAACCTCACAGAACAACAACCGGCAATCAACCCGGGTGTCATTTGAAGCAGTTGTTCTCCTCTTCCTACCAATTGTTTTTTCTTTCCGATCCATTAAGTTTTCCGGGATAAAATCATCATAGTTCATGTTTCTAGGACATCCCAGGCTGTACCCGGAAATTTTGAAAGTTGCTAATCTAAAGCAGTGAATGGTCATTTGGTTTGCAAAATTGTTGTCAAACCATAATCCATCTTTGTAAGTTTCAAAATCCGAGACTTTATTAGCGTTTGATGCATTTGTGTCTGAGGCGAGAATGCTAAAATTCGGTGGTTTCATCAAAAAATTTATACGAAAATTATGACGAGCTCTGGAAAGTAGAAAAAAGCTGTGCTGTTTCCTGTAGGGTTTGCTCTATCCATTCATTACTTGGACTCCTTCCGAGGGTTGTTGTAAAAATTTAGAAAAATTGTGAAACTTGGCCTTCTCAAAAAGCATGGGTCGCAGATTTTGATAATTTATCGAGAGGTTGCTGAATTTTGTGCAGTGGTTATATAACCATTAGAAAGAGTATAAAATGCTGCATCAAATGCTACCAGAATCTCTTACATATCTTTGTTCCACGAGATGTGGCGTACGTATGAAGAAAGCGACATTACTTCCGGAACGGCCTAATATGATTCAAATTATCATGTTTTCTAAGAATTTGTAATTGCGCTAGCCTATGTCATGCCTTTTTTCCATACTTTGTCTTACTCACTCTTTTCCTTTGCGTAGGAGGTTCTCATGATGTTTTGGATTCGACAAATCAAAGCAGCATTAGCATTCTGTTCTTCGCAAATGTGCAAAATTATGCATTAGCTACTGATTTAGATTACAGACTCGAAGCGTCGAAGCAGTGCAGCTGAAAATGCATCTGCAAACATTACGCTAATTAATCTTTAGATTTTGAACAAAGGCTGTAATCTGGTAACTCCCAATTAGAGATATATACTTTTCACTTCTGTTCATATCTTTTCCAGAGAATGGCTCAGGTACCATATTCTCAATTACTTTTATCGTTTTACTCATGGATATCGATGTTTCTCTACACATGTATGACTCTGGAGGTGCTGAAATGGCGCAAAAACAGTGTTCATTTCAAGTCTTCGTACTATTTATTGTTTATCTTTCAATATACATCGGATCTCTATGTATTTCTTTTTGTGGAGCTCATTATGCGTCCACGAAAGTTCAACTACTTTGGTATGTTCTCTGAAGACATGCAGAGTCTCGCACTGTTTTCGGTGTCAAATGTTATGACCACGAGAGGCGTTCTGTGTAGTGCACAGATATTCATCGCTCTTAATCGTTTTACAGCTCTCTACAGACCATTCCAGCAAGAGCGGGTATACTACTTCACATTTCACAAAATTTCCTTTATAAATCTCGATTGCAGATATGGAAGGCATCCACGGTCACTGCAAGCATTATGATAGTTTGGGTGTTATTTATAGTAACTTCTTTGCCTGTCATAATTATCTATCACGACACACCACATTTCTTTTTTACAAAGTCTGGAATACTACAGATGTCGGGTGGAATGATAGATGAGGCAAGCTTGTATGCAAGTTTATGCATTTCAGCAACACAACAATGATCTTCTTTTAGTACAATTCTTATCAAGGAGTGATAATTAGCATATTCACCGTGATAACATGTTCGATATGCTATGTGTATTCGTTTTGGAAAGCAAGGATCACAACACGCACTATAGTACGTACTTGTTTTACAAAAGTGTTGACTACTTTCTTGTTTTGGTATTAGTTCAACGTAGGCCATGTCGACCAATGCGGTTAACTCAATCGCACTAAGTTATTTTACCAAAGTAGAAATTTTTAACAACAGAAGTTAGCTTGTTTTACCCATATCTTCATCATAAGTAGCTGTCAATCTTTAACCATTGTAGATATATCAAGGACGCGCATCCCCAGGAAAGGTGCTGGCTGCGTTTCAACAAATGGAGAATTTAATTTTTTGAACCCTGGAATTAGTGAGCTATTACTTGCTCGAGAAAAGCCTTGGTGCAAGTAGTCGGATGTCGCTGTACCTGATCAATGCCAAGGGTATCGAAATTTGTAATCTACGGGGCCTGCATGTGTCTGTTTACGAATGTATGCTCCGAACAGTAAATTTTTGAATTGATCCGGAAAACTTTGCACACATACGCCTCGTGTGTGATCTCATTCATTTTTTGCAGTTTATGAGTTGCGCTTAAGCGCTGAATTTTTCACAGGGAGGGAATAAATGAGCATGCTAATTACAAAGTAGGACAGAGGCAGGGAAATGCTTTGTAGATGGGGACAAAATGATGAATTCTATCATGTTCTAATGATAGAGACCGACCAAAGCGGGGGACAGTACTTGTGTTGAACTCTCACAAAGTGACCATAGACTTCGATCCCAAAAAAAATACTTCTAAGCCAGAAAATCACTTGCGGACTTCCAAAAAAGCATCGCATGCAATTCTATTTTATTGCTTCCAAATTTTTTCACATTTCCATAAATGATATATCTTAAAGGTAGCTAATTCAAACAAGGCAAAAACAGTGGATTCGAATCTTCGGCAATCATCTATTCTATAAGGCTAGCAACCAATTGAACCCTGCTAGAAAGAAATAGAAATGTTGAAGATGTTTTGAACGAGCATTACCTTTTAGGACAGGTCGTAAGTATGAAACAAGCTTTTGCGAACTATAATTAGATCGGCACACAAAACCTGTCGCATTTTAGGCAAAAGCGGCAAGTGATAACTCAGAAAGGTGAGCGGAACGTTATTCAATAGAGCACTAGTTTGGAATCACATGCTGTTTGTAGGAAGCTGAGATTTGTGCTTTCAAATTTTATTGTGCGAAAATCTTATATGGAAACAATCTGAAACTTGTTGGAAACATGCCATCTTTGTTTTCTCGATTTTAAACCATAAAAAAACAGCAGTAGTATCTATGAATATTAGTATCTGTTCAACATGTCCGACCAAGGGCCGCATGCACTAAAATCCCCACGGGAAGGGGTTCGCAGCTTAAAAGAAAGCATTATATTTCGAAACTCCAGAAACCTGGATTTCACATTGTGTACCTATCCGTAAGTATTCCTACTACCCTTCACTATGAACATGTTGAACAGAAGCGAGAAGCTGTACGAACCGCATTTTCCAGCTTTTGTGTGATCCCTGATGATCCCCTTCGGTTTTCTTTAAAGTCATTTTTCTCTTTCCGATAACGAAAAACCTCCAAAGTTGTGCAGATTCTCTAAACCGACAGTGCTAAGCAAGTTGCTGATAAGAACAAATGATATTTTGAAGCCATGAAATTTTCGATGATCCGCAGGTCGAAATTTGAGGTTTACCGAAAAATTCGACTTTTAAAAACTCATTTGTTCCCATCAGCAACATGTTTAGCAGTGTTGTGTTAAATGTTCGGTACAACTTTGGAAGGTTTTCGTTAACTTCGGAGAAAGAAAAATGACTTACAAGAAAAGCGCCGGGGATTATCAGGGATCATACAAAAGCTGAAAAATGCGGTTCGCACAGCTTCTCGCTCCTGTTCAACATGTTCATAGTGAAGGGTAGTAGGAATACTTACGGATAGGTACACAATGTGAAATCCAGGTATCTGGAGTTTCGAAATATAAAGCTTTCTTTTAAGCTGCCATCCCCTCCCCAACGGGGAGGTTAATGCATGCGGCCCCAAGTTTCAGTATTTTTCGAGGGAGATGCTAATTCGAGCGTACTTTAGTATCTTTGAATTTGGCACATTTTGCTTGAATCATAAATTTATGCGAATCTTTGGCGACCATCCTGTAGAGTATACTTGGGTAATTCGAAAATTTTTCATAGAATGAATGAATGTCGAATAAATTCGATAATGAAAAATTTCGAATAAACGAATATCGAATAAATTCGAAAATGAAAAAAACCCGAATAAACGAATATCGAATAAATTCGAAAATGAAAAAAACTCGCATGAATGAGTTTCGAATAAATTCGGAAAATCAAAAATATCGAATGAATGAATATCGAATATACAGGGTGTCCCAAAATTAAGTATCGAACGTTTGATCGTTGATAACTCTCTTCCCAAGAAGTCTTTTGCCTTGCTTCAGGTACCGTTTTGTAGAGCTGGCTTCAACTTAGATTTGCAGTATAGAACGAATCACTCATTTCTCTTCATTACTGTAGGATTACGGTAGAAACTTCAAGGAGGGTTTTAAGCAATGAAAGGCCATATTTTGCCCCAGAAAGGAAACAAAACAGCCTTAAAACTTTTACACTAGGCTAATTAGAGTTGCTGATTATAACTGTAAAGTTCCCAATTTATTATGATGCTTCATTGAAGAGTTATGCCAGGTAAGAAGTAGCGGCCATTTTTTCAATGTTCCTAAAAAGTGGGATTGCACGGTTTGGAAAGCTTCGTAATCTTGTGAATAGTTAATTATTGAACTCAGCGTTCATAAAAACCCTATTACACAAGTTTTCATGATTTTTTGAAAAATTTTGAAACGGCAGCTTTTTTCATATTAACGCCATATGTTTCAAGTTTCTACCGTAATCCTACAGTAATGAAGAGAGATGAGTGATTCGTTCTATAGTGCAAATCTAAGCTGAAGCCAGCTCTACAAAACGGTACCTGAAGCAAGGCAAAAGACTTCTTGGGAAGAGAGTTATTAACGATCAAACGTTCGATACTTACTTTTGGGACACCCTGTATTCGAACACTGGGAGTCGAATTTCGAATAGATATTCGAATGATTTTTCGAATAACTACTGCAACATATCTAAAACTTGCTGACATATCTTGCTGAAGCCGATCCATTCATAATCAGCACCCTCACATCCCCTATACCAACTCCTAGCTCAAAATTTTCAGAAAACGCTGAAATCGATAAAATAGATTCCGGTTTCAATCAGCATCCTCATTTACCCCCCTCCCCCTCCCTCCTTGCACCAACTCTCAGTACGGTGGGGTAAGGTTAAGTAAAGGAGATGTACGGAATTGTTTGTGCATCGGGGAAGAAGATTTATGGGCATTCATGAACTTCCAGGAGGAAAAAATAGTAGCTTCTATAGCTGAACAGCAAGTCAGCGAGGAAAGTTTCGTGGTACAACGTTCCCATCTGGTTTCAGGGTATAAATTGTTTGCCTAGAGTCCGTTCATAGAAGTACCTAATGAAAGTTGTGCTTAGTGATTTCTAGACACTTACGAGTTTTCAACGTTAAAAAAATCATTTATTTTGTATAAGGAGAGCTAGTACAGAGAAACAGTGACCATCGAAACCGCCTCGTCTTCCGCTTTCAGAAAATATAAAGCCTGTGTGAGATATGTCCACAAAATACCTGGGTGAAGGGTGTCCTAGTGATTTCTGGAGATTTTCGAGTTTTTAACATAAAAAATTTTGTAACTTTTGTAGATGAACATCTTGTACGCCGAATAAGTCACCGTTGAAACCGTTTCGCTTTTCGCTTTTGGAAAATAATACTTTGCCTGGGATTCCATTAGAAAAATTGCCGGGTGAAGGGTGGGTGAGACTTTTATAATGGGATTGCTCGAGTAGACGTCTTTTCACAATAGTAAAAAAGCCTTTACTTGAGCACTCTCATTATAAAAGTCTCACCCACCCTTCACCCGGCACTTTTTATAATGAATCCTAGGCAAAGTATATAATTGCTGAAAGCGGAGGGCGAGACGTTTCCAACGGTGACCATCTCCATGTGTTATCTGTTTATCTATCTTCAGAAGTTACGGATTTTTAATCCTAATAACTTGTAAATATCCAGAAATCACTACCCACACCCTTCACCAGGCATTTTTTTCAACAGACTTTAGGCAAACTAGATATACTCTGCAAGCGAAGGACAAACTGGTTTCAAAGACATTTCCCTAGCTGAAGTTGCTGTTCATTGACAGAAATTACGAATTTCTTCTTTTAAAAAATTCGTAAATGCTTAAAAATTGTCTAACTCTTTCAGGAACAAATGTTTTCGCATGCACATCTTGTCGCGGCTCGCGCGATGCAAGCCTTTCCTCGATTCAGGTGCCGGGAGCACTGCATGCCGCCGAATCGGGCGCGCTTTTTAAACTCGCGCCCGGACCTCTCCTCGCTTGGGCGCGCTGCCAGGTCGAGGGGTATATAAGGCCGCGCAGTTGGCGGCATATGCCTCTCTAATTTCCGACCTCGTTTTCAAATTATTTTCTGATTTCTCACTTTCACTTTATTGATTGTGTTTGGCAGCTAACCCGGCAAGCTCCCGTGGACGAAATCTTGCGAGCAAGTGATTGTTACAGCTTTTGGGTTGTGCCGCGCTAACGCGCGAGGAAAGTTTAGAGCTTTGTGGAAAAGTTAGTACCGGGAGTGGAGAGGGTCGCAACTTTCCTACGCGGAGGCGAGAGTAGGCGGTCGACCCAGGTGATTCCTCTGACATCGTGTATTGGAATTAGGTTGATGTTTATCGGCGGCTTGGGACGAGGCGGAGTCGTCTTTGTCATTTTCCTTTAGTTTAGGCGCTTTAGTAGTTTGTCTATTTCGTAATGTAGTTTGTTGTTATTTAGATAAATGTTAGTAGTCCCGCGCGTCACGTTTCTCGTAGTGGGCAGTCATTTGGACACGCCGGAGTAGCTAACCGGCGCTAGGTTTGTAGGCAGTAAGTGCAGGGTTGTGCAGGCAGTCGAGCGAGGCAAGGGGGTGCTGAGCCCACCAAGCCGCAACACATCTTCTATGGTAATTTCAAAAACAGGCAGGGTGATGTAAAAAAGGGAAATGGAAGTTTGAAAAAATACAAGATTCTGGTCAGAAATATAATTATGTGCTAATCCAGCAGCACATCGGTTCACATTTCAAAAAAAAAGACAACCTGTGATGGCAAGGAATTGAAAAGTATAAACTTTGACTAGGAAAAATGATGAGAGAACATCATGGTTCCCCCCCCCCCCCCTTCCGTTCGAAATTTTATAATTTCTCTACCAAATAAAACACCCTTCACCCAAGAGGGGCTGCGACCACTGTGACCTCCTTCACCCTGGAGCAGTCATTTTCATTTTATCGCACCTATGCTTATACAAACTCCCAGCCCGCAACAACGGTGGCCACATATGTACTTAAATGCCACAAATGCTACGATACATGCATTTTCATCGGAGACTTTCGTCTTGTGTGGCATAAGCTAATCGTGTACGAAGGCATGCGGTTTATCCCGCGAAGCGAGCACGATTGCCCCTAGCCCTGGGCATACCGCAGGCATTTCAGTGGCGACATGGTTTGGCAATAGTCATGTCCAAAACTTATTCTAAAAGTACAGAATGCACGGCATTTATCTTTTAGTAACTAGTACACGCTAAACATTTGTGGTAAGCTGGCGTTACATTTGAAGACATCTCGTAACTGGCAGATCGCGTACGGCGATCTAAACCGTTTAATTTTCCACTACAACTGCGATGTTCTTCACTCAAAATACACCAATTCGCAAAAAAAAACTCTGAGGTAGCGTGAGGCAGTTGTGCAATATAACTTATGCGAGCAAGAGTGCTCACTAGCTGGGCTTTGCGTACCACAAGTATGAGCAATCCAAAGGAAGAATAACAGGCACTTCAAAACACTTTCATTATATGAACTCGGAACATGAGCTTGAATTTGATAGCTTCTTTGCTGATTTGGTGCCCATAGCAGTGCAAACAATCTCATTGATCGAAAAAGCATCAATTAAAATTCACATATGATTTTTTTACTGTCAAGCAGTCGGAAGAATGCGACCCTCCATACAGTTCAAAGGTCATAATGGTTGCAAAAGCTTCATTACCGAGTTTTGCGAAAAAAACGCGGACGAAGTGAGCTTGATATTCAGCAGTTGGCTCTGCAACAAAGTCGATTTAAATACGGAGTCCATTCGAATACGAATTCGAATAAACATTCGAATAAAACATTCGAATAAAATCTATTCGAAACCCCGTTTTTTGATTATTCGAGTTTTCGAATTTTATTCGAAACCCCGTTTTTTGATTATTCGAGTTTTCGAATTTTATTCGAAACCCTGTTTTTTGATTATTCGAGTTTCGAATATTATTCGAAAATGGAAGAACTCCGAATATCGAATTTCGAATACGAATATATTCGAATGTTTTATTCGAATGATCGAATTTCTATTCGATTCGGACCCAAGTATAATGTAGAGCTTGTTTTGCCTTCTCAAATCAAGCCTTACACACTTTATTGGTAATTAATCTGCCGTAGCATTAGTGCGAACGTTCGTGCCAACTTTATAATATGAGAACTAGATATTCAATACTCAAACTCCGCTTTTCCACTAGTGTATGTTCTTACCTTTGCGCGAGGTATGTATATCCATTTTTTTGCGCCTTTTCCAGTTCCTAGCGTCCTCATTTTGGTAATGGAGCACGCCCTTTCTAGAAAGGAGGCGTCTGGCACTGGTATTGGAGGACGAAGCTGGTTCCGCGGCGCCGAGCTGTGGTAGTGTAGATAACCAGCGGGAGCGAGGTTGTTATGCGCTAAACTGGTCATCCTCCCTGATTCATGTGAATCACTTCAGGAAAAATGCTATGCAAAGATATTGCAGATGTTCAGCACAAAAATGCGGCTTGCACAAAAATGGCTTGTGATCTTTGAATTGTATCGAATTTTTGACATGTTCAGAATGCGACGCAACTGATAGAGTATCGAATTCTGCTCTGTGCCATTGCATCATCTTTCCCGTTTTGCTTTGAAATGATTCGCTCCATACTTGTGCTGCTTTCATTCAGATCAAAAAATGATCTATATATTTGGGTAACAGAACTCTGGTAAGTGTTTTTTAGGTTTCTCTGACAAAACTCCGCGGGTGATCTTTGAATTAACAGGTTCTTCGAAATGGAAATCATTGCGACGGCTTCCGTTTGGCTGCAACTGATAATCAACAAAAGCATGAGGCAACACCTTTTCAGAAATCTAGTGTATAAACAGTGGAGGACTGAAGTCTCTGATGGACAATGGATACAATTGAGACCTCAGATCACATAGTCATTTTATTAAAAAAAGTCGTGTATGTAAATGTTTCCGTGACATTTACGTGGATCTCGCAGCATGTTACGGATGTCTGTACCTGCTATGAGCAGTGCTCAATGCATTTATTGTGATCTTTAAGTTTCTTGTAATGACTAAGCAGAGCTTTGGGCATTACTACGCAATAAATATCAAATTGTTCCATATGCCTTGTATTTCGAGCGAATTAGAGTTTTAGATCTAATGAGAATGGTCAGAAATAGAAGTGGCCAATGCAAACGCGCCGCATACCATTAGATGCAGCATAAAAGCTGTATGCTCAGCGCCTATGTGGGCGAATTTCTGAGCCGTTGGAGGCCGTTATTTTGCTGAGAAATCATGCATACGAGGTTCGAAATTGGCAGTAAAGAGCTATGTTTGGGTTGATGCTGGACCAGAGCATGCAGCTAGTCACTCTGAATTGTTAAAGCCTAAAAATGAGCCAAAAGTGCAACAATGGGCTCAAGTTCGCAATTTTCATGTACGATTTTTCTGCAATAAAAGTGCTAACTTCGTCTAAAAGGCGCTAAGCAGATATGGAACAAGATTTGAGGTCAGCCTTAAATGCTGCATCGAATGATAGGCAGCTAGCTTGGATTGGCCACTTCGACTTCTAACCATTTCCTTATGAGCTTTCCTGTGAGAGGAGGTTTGGCAATAAGTATGGATTATACCTAATACGAAGATTGTGTGTTCAAAAGACAGCTTTTCGCGTCTCCGAAAATTAGTTTTTTTTTCTCTGATAAAGGTGTAGAGTTACGCTGCTAGTCACGTATCAAATCTTGCATGTAGCCAAAATTCCTCAGTTTATGATGCTTTGATCCTCATTTGCATATTTGTGTCATTCCCTTGTTAAGTCGGAGCGCACAACGCACAAGAAAGGAAACTTATGAAAGTAAGTAAGCATTCACATGCAGATGTTTCAGTGTTCTAATCAATCAACGAGCAGAAAAAAAAGACTGCTCAGTGAAAGCGCAAAGGTGATTGTAAGGATACAAGAAAACATACAAAATCTCGCGAAATGTTTTGCTTTGCTTCCTTAATTTTTTTTATCAAGTGGACCAATGCTCGAAAAGCAAACGAAATAACTTTTATGTTATTTTAACATATTAGGATAACGATTTGAGATTGTCTCACTGTATTTCAATTTTTGAATTGATTAGAGAATTGAAAGGATGGGCTTTATAACCTAGGAGGCGACGGTTGATACAGGCTTACGGCACCGTAGTCTTCATCCGCATTAGTTTTCGACATCTATAAACTTGTATGTAGAACTAAATGGCCCGTAGTAAAGCTCGATCAGTTGAGGTGAACTCAACTTATCCCATCAGTTCACCTTAGGTGAGGTGAACTGATCGCCGTCCACGTTCGTATGCTATAAGATGGTCAAGTCAACTGATAGTTGACCATCTGTCCACCTGCCGCAGTCAACTCTTCCACATCAGTTCACGTTCAAGTCACCTCAACGTGAACGGATGTTAGAGTGATCCAAATAGTGTGTAGAAGAGGAGACGCAGACAAGAGGTGACTGCATCTAACATAAGTTGCTCCTGAGTAACTTACGATACACACAACTTTGCCAAAAAATGCAGAAAAAATCGCAAAACTGCACAATACCGGCGCCCGAAAAGGGAAGGATCGATGAACAGCTGATTTTGGCGATAAAAGCAAGGATAAAAGTTTTCTTCTTTTTTTTTGCAGAGCAATCTTAGTTTCTTGTAAAAACTACTTTAGAAGAGAATCTACTTATTTATTACGTTTTATTTGTGTTCCAAAAATTTCAGTTTTTCATGAATTCTCCGTCAAAATATGTCAGTTTTGTTTTATCTGTCCATTTGCTAAATGATATCCTTGTTAGCGGTCATCATCGATTTTTTTCGACAGTGGCCGCTATCAAAGATTGTCCGGCGATGCAGCAAAAGTTGTGACGCTAGCCGGTGTCGAACCACGACCGCGCGCATATGATTCCAACCGCTTATCTGTTTGACCAGACCAGCTCAAGTGGTTGGTTTTTTAAGGACACATGTGGTTATCATGTCTAGGAAGCGATCCACATCCAAATCAATAGCTCACTGGATGCTGGACTGAAGCGCGATGACCTCAACTCCTATCCGCGTCGAGAGAGATGCCCGGATGGGGGGTTTACTACGGGCCAATGTCTGCTTGTATCGATCTGTGTACTTTCGTATGTTCCAGATAATCCAGTTTGATCAAACTTTGCACCCATTTCAGGCAGGGATTATTTGTTATAGACCTTTTTCAGTAGCAACAGAGAGTTTATCGAATTTTGCAAACTTCGGGTTATGTAGCTGGAAGCAGGCATAGGGTGTCAGCAAGCATGATGGTCACAAAAAGTTTGTCTGTGTGCGAAAGCAATGTTAGTCTTCAAAATTATTGATGGGATCAACAAAAAATCAACAAAACTAATCAAAATCATCAAATCATGAAATCAAATTATTAATGAAATCAAATCAAATTTTGATCTGCGGAGTTGGGAGCTGATATAGAGAATACATGCTGAACAGGAAAATATGGGGGCAGAAAAATGGTGCGTAGAAGGAGATTAAGGCAGAGAAATGCTGTACAGAAGTAAATGGCGATGTTGTCATGCACATAGCGACAGGACCGAGAGGAGCCGAGTATGTCAGCTTGTAACACATGATTCTCACCACAAGTTAATGTTCTTCAAGGAGCCATTGGAGTAGAATCAGATGGCCGTACAAAAACTCTATTTGATGCACATTGTGCATACTTGCGCACTCTAAACAAGATGTGCTTCAGCCCTTATTTGTCTCCATGATTTAGCCATCACAGTGATCGAGGAAGTAGAAGTGCTTGATGTGCTATAACGTTGCGTTAGTAATACGTAAAAGCAGCATCTCGTTAAAAGCGAAAAGCTATTCTACATTCCTTTGCAGTCGACTGTACTGAAAATGAACTTTAGAAAAAAAAGGTTGCTATTAGATTCAAGCATTTTGTTCTGGGAAAAGAAGTGGAACAAATGCTTTGCTCAAATGAGTATGCCTCGAAAATTGTTTAGGAAAGTGCCACTTATAGCTTCTCCTGCTTCATCATTTGCAGTTGAATATTATAGCCATAATTGAGTTAGATCACGTTTTTGATTTAATTTCAGCTTTGCTTGTTCTCACTACATGTAATCAGTGGCTCTGATCGTTCTATACTAACCATCATACTTGGGTGCTGCTGCTTTCAGCTATAACTCCTTCCACTACGACTAAATATCAGCAATTTTTAGGTCAAACATGCGCAAAACTCCTAATGGACAACTCATTTTGGGATTGTACGCATGGACATCTGCTGCTATTTATGCGTATATAGTGTGTAAAATTATCCATTGTCGTGGGACATTCAAACATTTCCAATCTTCATATTATCTGCTATTTCTTATGCAAGCGGCAGCAGATTTTAACACATTTCTAACCATAGAATTCATTTTGAGACCTAGAAGATACAACTACTTTGATCTATTCACGGTCGACATGCAAGGATTTGCAAAATTCTCGTATTTTTGCATGGAAAATGCAAGAGACTTGTTATGTTGTGGGCATCTTGTCATCGCAATCAACAGACTTACATCACTATATTTCCCATTCACTCAAGAACTAGTGAGTTTCAAATATTGTGCTTAGAATTCAACGAGAAAAGCGAAAAAACCAGAAATAAAAATAAACAATTAAGTTGAGTGTGGTGTGCTGTGAGTTCAGTGTTGGTGTTAAGGTGCTGTGTTGTGTTTTGTCGATCCTCCCAGCTGCTATGTTCGCGATGCAAGTCTAATAAGCGCGAGTTTAACCAAAGTTAAGGACCCTCAATTTTTGTTATGCCTAAATTTCGCTAATGTTTAGAATTTTTACTTAGGACTTTTGGAAGTGCTTTGCTAATTTTCTGTTAGAGCAAGACCTTCGCCAATCAATGCAGTTTTTTTGTATGTCTCCAGTTTCCTCTCCACATTTTGGTGGATAATTGCCTAAAAGTATTGCCCAAAGTGATGTCAAAGTAATTACATCAATCTTACAATAGATAACACTATCGTTCGAAAGAAAAATGAAATTCTGAGATTTAGGGAACATAAGTGAGCACTAGATATGGCGATTTTGTTTGCAAATTGCGCATGCTTCATAAATGAGATAATTGTTAGGAAAAGGAGAAAGAGTCACTTCGAATGTTAGCTGAACCGTTTATCACTTCATGCTTTACGACGTGATATTGATTCGAATATAACAATTGCTTACTACTGAGAACATATTTTAGTAATTCTAAAGGCGAGCTAGAGAAGTACAAAAAGTTGCTTTAATTTGCAAAAGTTTTGCCCCATCAGCTGGTTATCAATTTCCTTCGAAAGTCCTGAGGAAAGTCTTTGGAGATAAGCGAAATTCAGACACATTAAGGTTGAAGGGATGTGTTTGGCGATTATCTCAGCGCTCTTCGAAGCAGTAGCAATGAGAACGTAGCTGCTGGAAAGAGGAAGAAATTCCGCATCACTGCTCAAAAAATTGGTTTGTCTCAAATTGACGGGATCTACGAGTGAGTCCAAAAATTTGAAGAATAAAGAATCCGACGTTTTTGATTTTAGCAAACAACGTATTCATTGTATTCCATTATCTCAATCCTTGTTTCAATGTGGGGTTCTTATAACAGTGCCCACAGGTGCGATAAGGTGAGAATGACTCCTCCAGGGTGAAGGGGGTCACAGTGGTCGCAGCCCCTCTGGTGAAGGGTGTTTCACTAGAGAAATTATAAAATGTCGACGGGGGGGGGGGGGGGGGGGGATGGGAGCCATGGTGTTTTCTCATCATTTTTCCTAGTCAAAGTTCATAGTTTATTCCTTACCATCACTGGTTATCTTTTTTCTGAAATGTGAACCGATGTGCTGCTGGATTAGCACACAATTATATTTTTGACCAGCACCTTGTATTTTTTAAACATTTCCTTTTCCTTTTTTACTTCACCCTGCCTGTTTT